TATAGGACAATATCACAACCAGGATATGGATGTGGGTGCCACCCACTGATCTTATTCAGATTTCCCCAGTTTTATCTGTACAGGTGTGCACTCATGTGTATTAAGTTCCATATAATTTAATCACCTGCGTAGGTTCTTGTATCACCACCACAGCCAAGATACTGAACAGTCCTGACACCACAGGAATTCCTGTTGCCCTTTTATAACCACACCCACCTTCTTCCTGCCCCGCCCCCGCTGCCCACCAGACCAGAGGATTGATTCAGTGTGGAGGGTGAGGAGGAGGGGCCTAAGCAGACCCCATTTCTGCCTGGCAAAGCTCACAGGGGTGGGGGTGGGCTGTGAGTTAGGGTGCCAAGTTTGAGACTTGCTGGCTTCTTTGTGGGCACGGGGAAGTCTGAGCTAAGGCTGACATTAGGAATCACCCGCCTATCACCCCTGGTGCTGTGGATTTGCCAGAGAGGGAATGGAGTGAGAGGAGAGGGCTGGGTGGGGGTGCGCAGGGGGGGTGTGGATACAGACAGTGTCTGTTAACAGCCCCCTTCCGGGTTCTGTCTGCACAGAGGCCCACAGACTGCTGCCTTGTTTTACAGCTGGCTGACTACCGCCTGGTCAAGTCTTGCCCTTGATTAAAGAGCCCTGGGAATCTGCACAGAGGGCTCCCCGGAGCCTACATAACCAACCACCTCACTCTGCCCCCAGTGTGAGCTTCTGAGCCAGGCATGGAAGGTCCTTCTGCATGATACACATCCCTAGCTGTGTCCTGTTCAGTCCTCTAAGTACAGGGCTTCTTAACCCTGGTCCTGCCATGTGGGGAAGGACCTTAGAGGTCACTGAATCCAAAGCCTTTAATCCACAAAGGAGAGAACTGATCCTCAGAGGAGAGGCTTGGGGGAAGGCCAGGCATGTAATCTGCTGGGGGAAAAGGGGGCTGTTTGTTCCAGATTAGGAATCTGCTTTTCCCATAGAAGAGAAATCCAGGCGAGATGGATGAACGTTTCTAAACGCCATTCATCAGTTTTTATTGAGCGTCTACTATGTGCCAAGCAGGGCTGGGATCTCTGGATAGGAGATGGATTAGGCTCGCACCCTAAAACTGCTGGAGAAAGACATCGAAGGGTTAAATTCTGGGAGCGATATAGAGGTGATGGAGTAGAAGAATCTTCCAGCAAGAGGAATAGCCCTCTCCTAGCTTCTCAGGCTCCTGAAACTTGGGCGTGAAGAGCCTGGGAGGGCCGCCCCGCTGGCGCGCAGCCTCCCCGCACAGCCTTCTCTGACCCCCGGGACTGGGCGTTCTCGAATTACAACAAAAGGAACTGGGGGCCGGGCCTGTGCGGTGGCCGCCTTCAGGGAAGGGGGTGGGCCCGGGGAGGGGTTTGCCGTCTGACTCCCGTTAAAAGTACCGGGAAAAAGCGTAAAGGAGCGACTCCAGCCCGCGGTTTGCTAAACTCGGAGCTCTCTCTCTCTCTCCAAAGGCCCCTCTGCTTGGGAAAGGGGCTCCGCGGCGACGGGAGCGGACAGGCGCCACCGTGGAAAGCTGGCCCCCGTCAAGCCTGGGCGGACCCCTGCTGCCAAGTAAGAGCGTTTCCTGCAGCCCTTGGTCCCCGCAGCGGTTCGAGGGGAAGTGGGAGCGGCCCCGCGGAGTTTCCAGGCTCCACTCACTCCGCGCGAGGACGTCTCTCTGCCGTGCGTGGGGTTCCCAGATTTAGGCGACGGCCACACACAGCGAAGCAGAGATGCGATGACATGCAGGCTAACGGGGCCCCCTCCCGACTTGGGCGGACCCACCCAGCCCCACCNAAAATGCAGCTGGTGGACCAATTCCACCCGCCCACGGGCATAGTTTTTCAACCCTGACTCTAGACCACTGCCCTATGCTGGGCTTAATATTAGGGAAGGACCTCCTGCCTCCAAAATACCATCGTCTGTCTTTCATTTCCTTTCAGACCCCTCTTGAGAGTTACAGACCCTTGTTTGTGTTTCATACCAGATACTACTTAGATGTCCCATAGTATCCTGAAACTCATGTCCAAATCGGAACACACTTCCTGTCCCACATCTCCTCTCTCTATGCACCACCTGGTAACTTAGACCAAAAACCTGGAAGTCACTCTAAATGATTTCTTTCTTATCACCCTCTCTTTCCATCTAATCAGTCTCCAATCGAGTATCAGATCCGCCTTTTTTTATTTTTTTGGATATAAGGTTCCAGGCGCAGCTCAGTCATTCCATCTGGATAGCTTCCGCTCGGGGCCTTACCAAAGGCCTGAGTGGCAGGTCTAGGGACGGAGTCCACCTCCTGTCCAGGTACAGAAAATCACCACGTACTGGCTGTGCATCCATGCTGGCCTGCTCCCTCTGTGAACCTGAACGAACAGTAGTCATCCCTTCACTTCAACTGTTAGTGGTGTCAATCGAGCACAAAGAGTCAGGAGGCTTTGGCTAGAAATAAATGGCAAAGATTTATTCAAGGGTCTTAGGGTTTGTAACCCAGAAACACAATTAGGCAATACCCAGCGTGTTCCAAAGAAGAAAGAAAAGCTAAGTGTTCGTATAGTAAAAAGTACATTCTTGAGAAGAATCAGCCCTGCATTCTTAGCCTCTGGATTGCTCTAGTAATCTTCCAGATGGCCAGCAGTCTCGATACTGAATGTCAGAACACGTGAACATTCTTTCCAAAGCTGGAGTGAATCTGGGAGTTAAAAGTAAAAGAGTTCAACAGCAGGAAGGCTGGCCTAACCCTTTGTGACGTGGGCAGATGAGAAGATCAGGAATGTAGTTTGGTACATAGCACAGTTGAGCTGTCGCTCAGATACCCAGTGGTGAGGCTAAGCTTACAGGTGGACACAGGAGCCTGAGGAGTATGGGAGAGGGTCGACTAGAGACACACATTTATGAGTTGGCAGCATGTGCAGGTAGCTAGCTAGAGTCAGGAGCCTGGGTGGGATCACCCACAGTGAGCCCTGGAGCCCTCCTAAGAAGCCAGGGAGACATGGCAGGGAAGTCATTACCATAAAAAGAGTGTTTACCTTCAGGGCAGGGAGGCACTTTTGGGAAAGTGGTTTGTGGGGATGCTTCCAAGATGGCAGTAATAGTTCTTGATATTCTAGTTCTTGAGCTGGATGGTAATTATATGGGTGTTTGCTTTATATTAGTTCAGTATGCTCATATTTATGTTTTATGCCCCTTTGTGTATATAGGTTATATGTCATAACTTTAACATTTTTGAGATAGACAGATGATAGATGATAGCTAGCTAGCTAGCTAGCTAGCTAGATATCTGGATAATAAGGAAAAAACAGTAGAATGAGACTGAATGGCCAGAAGTTATGTATGCTGAGACATAGGGAACTGCTTTTTAAAAATATATATATTTATTAATTTATTATTATTATTATTATTATTATTATTATTATTCATTTCAGCTCAGGAACGCCAGGGATCCTTTGGGGAAAATTATTACAATTCTCAAGGTAGACACTGTGGAGAAATGGACCGTATTCGAAGACTGATGCTGCATTGGCCCGAGCATCCTTTCTCTGGTCTCCTAGCAACCCAGGAGGCTGGTAGCTGGGGACAGGCTTCTGACTACAGTGACTTCCCTTGGGTTGCTCATCTCCCCATAATCACACCTACTAACAATGGAGCAACTTTCCCCCTTTAGAGCTCATGCACTTTTCATTTCTTTTGCCAGCTCAACAGCTCTGTGAGGGAGGTGGGAAAGATAATTATTGCTCAATCGACAGACAAGAACACCAAGATTCAGAGCAAATAGAACAATGCCATTTTTATAGCTAGGAGGGGTCTCTGTTCACTAACTCAAACCCTCGTTTCCTGAGCAGAAAACCTGGGACTGGAACCCAGGTTGCCGGGTTTTTCTGGAGCTCTCCACAACACTGGTGATATTGGTCTGTCATTCTGGAGGAAGTGGCTCTGGCTGCACCTGGCACATCATCTGCTCCAGAGAATGAGGATAA